ACCATCATCATCAGCAACAAATGAAACAACAACTGTTGTTATTCATCCAAATGAACATCAAGAACTTCCAACAACACATATGTATCAACAACCAAGACAAATGTATTCACCTGGAAGTGGTAATTTAATGGTAACAACACCAAATACAGCACCTAATTTTCATCATCAACCTTATTCAACACAACAACAAATGCAAAGACCACAACAACCAGGGTAAAATATTTTACTATTAGATATGACTTAGCGAAAAAATATGATAATAACGTATTCAAATTCTTTTTTTTATAGATATGGAACAGCAATTTCTGCTCCAGGTGGTTATCCTGCACCACAAAGATTTAATTTTCCACCTCAACAACAAGTTCCACCTCCACAACAACAACAATCTCAAAGTTCGCCATATTTTGAATATGCACCATCAACACCACGTTCTGTACCTCATCAATCATCATCAGCAGAATCAACACCTATTCTTCATTCTACGAATAATACAAATAATAATCCAATTCGAAAATCCAATTCATCATCTGATGCTAATACACCATATCATCATGTTTCACCAATGGATGAAACTTCTCCATATCATCAACAACAATCACCATATGCAAATCAAAATCAAATGAAACCACAACCTCAACAACAACCACCACCACAACAGCAGCAACAGCAACAATTATTACCACGTGGTATGGCACCAAGACCACAACAAATAATGCCTAGATTTCCACAGCAAGATACAACAAATTTCGTTCGTACACCATCATCTGTTGGTACACCTGTACAACCAACAAGATTTATATTTGCTTCTCCACCAAATCAACAAGTACAACAGCAACAGCAACAAACTCATTATGTTCAATATGCACAACAAGTGCAAGGACAACATACAGTTGTTGTACAACAAGGAACTAATGAAGCATTTCAAAGAATGGTATGAAATTAAATTATTTATCGAAATAAATCTTTCTACATATATATTTTTTTTAGCCTGAAAGTCCAGCTCATCAACATATGCAGCAGCAACAGCAACAACAAGTACAGCAGCAGCAACAACATCATCAAGTATCTCCTCAATTTAGTCCTCATCATCGGCCAATGACACCAAATCCTCAACAGCACCCAATGGCAATGCAACAACAACATCTTATGTCACCATATTCATCTCAACAACAATCAATGCATCATCCACATCCTCAAACAACTCAACACTCACCAACCATTGTTGTTCAACCAACATCACAATTTTCTCCATCATCAGTACATCATCATCAATTAGCATTAACAACAACGGGTCATCAATCACCACCACAAGATCCAAATAAACGACAAATACAAATGCAAAAACCACCTCAACAACTATTAGTTAAACATGAACCCATGTCTTTTGATGAACCACAAATCAAAATTGAAGCACATGATGATCCCTTAAATGAATCAATAAATACAGCCAAAATTCGAGCTGATCCATTACTATGTACGTTAATAGTTGAAATAAACATTTTTAATATACAATTCCATTGAACTAATTAGATAAAAAGCTAGGAATCCGTATACGAACTAAAATCGCATTACAGACTTACAGTACTTTCTTGATAATCAGTAAGAAAATGAAATTCGAAAACGAGATATGATCAACTTAGTGATAAGGTTTCTTTCCGATTGAGATTTAAAAATGCTTTCTTAATAATTGTTTCAAAAGAAATCTCTAAACTAAGATTAAGATAAGCTACTCAATTAATATCCTTTAAAATCATTTAAATTAACAAAAAGAAAATTCTTTTTTTTATCATTTAAGCTGTACCACCACATGTTCTCGAACAAATTGATGAAGTAATAAATGATGTTGTCTCCGGTGCTGGTGTTATTACTCAAGAACTTCCAACTACTACTCATGCTCCATCAATACCTATTCAAATAGTTCCATTAACTCAACCAAAAATTCAACCTCAACATATGATTACAACTCATCATCCTTATGTTCAACAACAACAACAACAATCATTACCACCACCTCCACCACCACCGCAATCACATGAATGGTCAAATTATCAACAACAACCAACATTAAATATTGCTGCTATGCGTGGTCCACCATCCTATTCACATTATCATTCTCAACAACAACAACATCATCATGATCTATTACCAGCAACAACAAATGTTATTAATACAGCAGGTGTACCACAACATGAACAACAACAAATTGTTGCTGAACGTATATCATCTATCTTAGCATCATCACCACATGAACAACAACAAACAAGTGTAACACAAGCACCTATACAAATAAAACGTGCATGGCCAATGAATCAACATCAACAACTAGATAATCATTTTCTTAGTACGTTAAACTAATCTAATTTATTTTTCTTTCATATCTAATAAAAAATAAAAGAACAGATCTATTTCCACATTCAACAATAATGACAATCGCTGTAAATGGCGATGGTGAGTTTAAAGTAATAAAAAACTATAAGTTGACCAAAACATTTAGTTAGCTATTTGCTCATGCTGCTAAATCGAACAAAAATTTACTCACTATTCTTCTTTATTGCCATTTGCTTTAGCATGACATCGTATCTAAAATATAAATATGGGAAACGAACAAAAAAAAAAGAAAACTATTTTTTAACTTCAATCTTTTATTCATTTCTGTTCTCCATATTTAGCTACAACGTCTACGGATCCATCAATTTCACTTGAAGATTTACTTGAACGAGATTTTAAAGATAAACAACAACAACAACAGCAGCAGCAACAGCAACAACAACAATCATCAGTTGACTGGACAGTTGAAAGTAATACAAAATCTTCAATAAATTCTACTACACAACAAGCACCATTAAGTCTTGCACATGCTGTTCATCTTCTTCAACAAGCTATAACACATGTATTATATAAACAATCTCCACCACCTGAATTAAGTGGTCTTGTTAGTATTGGACGTGATAATGATTTAACAAATATAAATGCAAATATAAATGAAGAACAATTTGAACGTTATGCACGATGGTTAAAACAACGTAGAGAAATAAATAATTTAAGAATAAAAGCAGATGAAACAAATTTAGCAGATATTAAAAAAAAGAGAAATATTTTACTTCGAAAACAAAAACAAGTGAGTAAAAAAAGATAAAAGATTGACTTTTTTTTTCTCGGAATTTTATATAAATATTCAAAGAAGTTGAATAATCTATTATCAAATCGATCTCATCGAATATCTCCTAATTACTTGTATATAATAGACTTTGAATATTAATACTTGAGTAGTATGAATTGTATTAGAATTAGAAATGATTGTTTCTATTTTCTTATTTTAGTCATTATGTACACCTGAAGAAGAACAAGAAATGCCACGTTTATCTCAACAACAAACAGAATATTCACGTACATTAACAGCAATGCGTAAAGAAAGAAAACAATTTGATGAATTAGAACAAGCTTTTCAAGTTTATAAACAAAGTCGATTAAATACATTATATCCACCTAAATCATCACCTGAACAACAATCAGAAACGATTGCTCGGTAAATAGAAATTATTCTATCTTCTTAAATCTATTATTTTCTATTTAGTATGATGTCAATGACAAGTGTTCCTCAAACATCAATTCAACCATTACAACGTTTTCTTTCTGATACACCACTAACTGCAATGACATTTACTTCGTCATCGAATAATGTTTGTTATTATAATATTATATCGATATATATATATATATATAAACGAATCAAATTCTATTTTCTAGGATGAACAAGATGATTTTACTAATGATGATCAAACATCATTATCACCATCAACTTCAACTGAACTACAACAAAAACAAACGACATATACACAACAAGAAAGTCAATCAATTAGTAATAATCTTTTTAATATTATCGAAATATCAGATTTTTACAATTCGATTAATTAATTAGATTCAACATTACCATCAATACATAGTTCATCATCACCATCATCTTCATTTTTAACACCAATGCAACCATCAACATCATCAAATAATGATCCATCAATGGATCATCATCATATGACAAGTAGTCCAAATCATGAAAATGATACAATACCATTTGAACCATGTCGAACATCACCTCATATACCAAATGAAGATGAATCCGTACTTGTATCTGCATCATCTATTGAATCGAATATTCAATCGAATGTTGTTGATGAGCTTGAGCAATGATCTTCGTTTTTCTTTTCTTTTTGTTTTCTTGAATTGTCTTGGTCTTTACCTTTTCTTTTCTTTTTTTTTTCTCTAATTTATGTATTTGTCTCATCACACAGTGAACAACAACTTGTCTTGTATAGAAAAAAAAAATTATTTGTTTGTCTTTGTTTTCTTTTTCATATTCATAAAAGTTAGCAACAATTCTTTTTTTTTTGTGTCTATTTCTTACTCGCAGTTTTTTCATTGGTTTCTTCATCGTCATAACACATAGACCATTCTCGTTTAATATATACTCATTTATTTACACAGATTGTCTCTTTTCCTTTAAGTACGATGAATGGAAAAATCTTTTTTTTTTGTTTTTTTTTCTTCTTCTCTCTTTTTTTCTTTTTGATTATTCAATAAACTTACACACAATTGTCTGCCTTGCAATTTATAACAGATTCATGTGTTTCAAAAAGAAAATCATGTTTTTATTTTTTCGATGTTTTCTATCACTTTACAAAGACACGATGATCCATTCATTTATATAATTCAAAATACACTTAAAAGAATTCATTTTTGTAAACAAAATAAATTAAACATATATTTTCATGTTAGATAATTATTAAGAAAAACTATAAATGTACATATTAATATATCGGTTAACCCTATGGTCATGAAAGAAAAAATACAAAAATCTTATAATTTGCATATAGATCGAAAATAAATAAAAATGAAACTTTATTCTTTCTTTTTTTTTCAATTAATCATTTGTTATACTTACTTTCGTGTTCGAATAAGATTTAATACTAGGGGGAAAAAACATGATTTCTGTTATCTTTCTATCGATGTGTCTATTTGGTAAGAACTTTTCAAGTGAGAAAACTTTATATTAAAAGAAATACTAATATTTTAGTATTGATTCCAATAACAAATGGAATAAATTGTGTATCATGTGTTGGTTGGAGTAATTCAGGATGCAATGATCCTTATGATGAAGCAACATCAGGTGATCTTCCAGTTCCTGGTAATACTTATTGTTTAGTATGTCTTACCATTTTTATATTAAAACCTATTATTTATTCATTTATTTTTTAATTTCTTTAGAAAGTAGTCTATCCAAGTTATATAGAACGTATGGCTGGTGGTCGATCTTGTACACCTGGAAGTGGTCCTGGTAATAGTATACGTTATTGTTGTTCGGATCAAGATTACTGTAATCGAATGATAAATCTCACCGGATGTCGAATTAATATTATCTTACTAATAATGTTTTTATTATTTGCAAAACTCAAACTTTTTTCATGAACAATTCAACATAAATTAACTGATATATATAAACTTAGTTATGTGTGTGTTTTCCTTCTTTTTCATTATTGAATCAATAAATAAAATACTTGTTTGGTAGTATGTATATCAATTAGAATTACGAATCGAAACACTATAAATTTGTCCTTGACTGTTTCGTAAAACTATGACTAATGGATGTGACAAATTTACTCTATTTTTTTTTCTTGCGTTCTCTGTAAATCAACATGTGGTGTATACAGTAGCTATTTATTTGTTTTTAAAAAAACATCAATAGATTTTCAGATGAAAATTTTGATTATTGGTGCTTATGGAACATTTGGTAGTCGATTATCACA